CAAGTTGTAGCAGACGTTCATGAACAACATACACAAGAGCAGTCACAAAAACATGCTACAATGCGAACAGTATTAAGTAATGCTGAACGCCAAAACGCGCATGTCGTGCTAAGAAAAGAGCATTAAGTAAAAGATCAACTCAAAGTAGTTTTCATCAACCACGAACTAGTGCTGAACGTCAAAGATTATACAAAGCAAATAAGAAATTACGACTAAAAAAAACAGAAACTCAAGAAGACGAGTTTACACAAACCCAAGAAGAGCAATATGTACAACATCTCGTTAAAGAATGTTAAATGTTGCCAATAAAAAAGATCTTTTACATTCAAAAGTAAATTAAATTAAATTTGACCTATTCCTGATCCATTTATAAATTATTAGAGTACCAAGAATATTAAATTTATAAAATAAAATAATTATTGCCATCATGAGTTAAACAAGTTCAATATTTGATGGTTTCTATAAATATATGAAGTTATCACTTCTGTCGAGCGTCCTGTGACGCACACCACTTTTTTTTTCTCAGGCTCATCGTTAACCAGATACAAGGTGTTAAAGTTTAAAAAAAAATTGGTATTTCCTTATTAACTCCTACAGTTTATGAGAAATTTTGCTCCAATTTTGAACATAGGATACTGTCTAGACCCTGTACCCCTAGATAAGACAACTGGTTGCCAAAATCTACAGGGTGTTTTTTTTCTCTAGAGACCCACTTTTACCTCTCGAACTTTTTGGTGGTGCGCCACTGACTTTGACCGAACAAACTTTTGAATTTATTGATCAATTGAAGAAATGTTTTATATATTGCAGTTTTTTCATACTTACCTTCCTTTTTGAGTTAATTGCACAAACATAAGTCCAAGCAGGGTTTCTGGGTAATTTTCTAAAAATTTCTTTATAATTTTGTTTTGCGTCTTTTTGTTCACATTTTTTTGTGAAAGCTTGAAGTGCAAGTTGAAGAAATAGGGTTGAGTGACAAGTTAAATTTAAAGTTAAATTTTTTACTTTAATTTAATTTACCATAATTGAGGTTTATCGGCTGTAAGCTAATCCGAATAAAAATTCACAAAAATGTAACAAATATTTGAATTTATTAGGAAATTAATTTCATAAAATTGAATAAAAATGGTTTGGGGTTCATTTCCAATGTGGCGTAAAATGTGCTCCTCATTTCTTGTGTTCACTGCGTAAATGCGACCTCCGTTGTTGCGTTGGCAAAGAGAGTCCGTCTTCCGAACTTTCAGCTATCATTAGCAAACGTTTGTCGATTTGGAAATCTTCGGTACTCCACCATACTTCGGCTGTTATTCGCACAAAACCCCAATACTAATAGCACATCAACTTGCGCATTCAATGAAAATTTTCCAATTATTTTTATTAAAAACTTCGTTTTGTTTTACAAAGAAAAACGTCGGAACTCAAAAACGAGGCAGATACGAAAAACGAGATAAAAAAATTATTAAATTGGATAACAAATTATAAAATGTGTTCGCTTGAAGTCAGTGGCGCACCACGAAAAACTTCGCGGAGTAAAAGTAAGGTATGACACTAAAAAAAACACCCTGTAGATTTTCGCAACCAGTTAGCTTACCTACGGGTAGAGGGTTTAAACAGTAGCCTACGTTAAAAATTTGATCAAAATATCTCATAAATTGTAGGAGTTAAAGAGAAAATACCAATATTTTTAAGTTTAACACCCTTTAACCTCGTTAACCATGGTCCTAAGAAAAAAACTTAAATTGCAACCCGACTTGTTTTGAGGTCGTCTACGCGCCCTTGCTCTTTGTCCATAGTGTTGTGAATCACCCTGTATAGTCGCGGATTTTTACGTGATATCAAAAGTCGTTTAAAATCTTTGAAAATTCTGACTACCTCCTAAAAAAACCCGAAATTTCGAGGAAAACTTCAATTTTTCGGAGCCTATTTGAAGAAATAATCGAAAACGTTTAATATGTTCTCAGGACAACTTTTTTCCTTCTGCAAAATGATGTAAATGTGATTTCTAATCCGACGTTTCGATATTCGACAGCCATCAGCAACAGTTCTTATAGCTATATTCATTTTTTTCACTTTCCGATAAATCAGTTTTATTTTTCAAGTTTACCTGTATATCTATTTTATGTCGGGTGCATTCGTGCGGTTTTTCTAAATGCTTTTTAAAATTATAATCGGAAAACTATATTCGATGTATTTATTTTTTGTTTTAGTTACTAGGCCATAAATATTGTTTTTTGCAAAAAAGTTCCAATATGACCACTTCTAAGTCTTCTTCAATTTTTTAGGCATAATTGTACATACTTTCCTGACTGTGTTCCAAATTCCAAAATAAATTTCAAATCAAAATTAATTCCTGGGTTTCAGTCATTTATTATCTCTATTTATCAATTAAAATACGTTTCGGTGTATTTTTCCACCATCATCAGTTTTTTCTAAAATAGCAGATAGTTAAAAAAACAATTCATTAATTTAAAAAACAATCACAGTTCGTCAACAGCCTCATCATATCACACACTAAAATACATAACAATTGCAACACTAAAACATTCTAAAATTAATTAGGCCTAACAGGTGATTAGTCAGGACAATCAAATTAGACTAGAATTCTTTGTTCAGATACTTAAATATTTTTACTTACATGTTGTTGCTGCTTTAAGCCTTGGCATACATTTGGAGTATTAATTTTGTCCATTTTGGACACAAAGCGAATAAAATACTGTTTATATTAATTTCTTTTACTTTCAGCTATTTTTCTTTGTATTCTGAGAATATTATTTTTGGATTGCAAAATTCTTCAATATACCGGGTGTTAGTTAATATTCTAT